TATGGAGGAGCTACTAGAATATTTTCTAAAGCAGCTACCCTACTTTGTTCCTCAGCTGCTGTTCATAAGGCTTCTATTTCCTTGGAATGCTTCAATATAATATCTGACTTTTTAAACTGTACCTCTTCAAACCTCAGGATGAAGTGATACCTCCTGATTTTGATTTACATTCTAATAAGTAAGTACGTATGAGATCTTTTCATGTGCTGATTGATGGTTTTTGTCTTTAAGGAAATTGTTCTTCGAAATGGGCCAAAAGTTGTGTTACCTATCTTTATGCCGGTTCTTTGTATGTCCTAAAGGACTTTGTCAGAGAGATTCTTTGCAAACCACTTCTTCTATCTTTCCAGGTGTTTTGAATTGTGTTTTTAATTTAAATGTGTCTTTAAATATCCCTTGACACATTTTTCCTAATATTCAGGGCAGTTTATGAAGAATTTGTTTTGATTCTTTAAATATTTGGTAAATTACACAGAAAAGTCACCGGGTTTCCATTTTTGCTTATTACCAATTGAATGAATTTTCTACATATAAATTAGCCTGTTCTGCTTTTGAGTAAACCAAAATATACATGGGGAAGGAGGGGCTTATTCTATGTTTTAGAGATATGAACTGATGTAGACAGCATAGATGAGTGCTGCTTACTGACATTCCTCAGGACCTATTCAGCCTCATTTCTTGTAGAAATCAGGAGACATGGGCTTGAACCACATACCATGGGATAGGCCCTCCAATATGAATAATTAATCAGGAAAATACCTTACAGACTTGTCAATGTACCATAGCTGTTTCCTTAACTGAGGTTTTGCTTCTCAGATAATTCTACCTTGTGTCAAGTTCACAGACAGCTATTCAGGACAAAAATCTTTTCAGAATTTCTGGGCAGTTTTGGTTGGGATGAGTTTGGGTGTGTACAACATGCACACATGCACATGAATGAGAATTCTCATGTCCTTCTGTGTGTGTGTGTGTGTGTGTGTGTGTGTATGTGTGTGTGAATGCTGATGAATGTGCACTGGAGGTGTTACTGCTACAGAGGGAAATATATCCTGACTTGTCAGATTCAATCACAGCAAAGCTTAGCAGCCTCCTTCTTCATTCTTCACACTAAGATGATCTGCCCATCCATCAATTGTCAATATAAATTGTTTCATTTATATACAGCGGGGTTCTCTACAGCATGATTGTCCAGAGTGACACACACAGCATGGATGAACCATTTCAAACCCTGATATGAAGGATGTAATGCACAGAGACCTATGAACTCTAACTTCTTCCATACTCCTTAATACTTGAACATTTGAAAATATGGACATGACCACCCCAAGTCATCACTGAGCAGAAGGTTTTTTTACTGTAAATAATTTGGAGAGAACAGTCACTTGTATCTGTAAGAGTCCAGAACAGGGATAGATAGTAGTACACTGTATATGGCAAATAGACTGAATGGGCCATGAGAGTGGAGAGAAGGGTAGAGGTAGAGAAGAAGAAAAAAACAAGGGAGAGGGGAAAGGGAACAGAGAGTACAAAGTGCCTAGAAAATAACCAAGAGCCCAAGAGTGCATGAGCAAAAACATCTTGGCTTATAGGAAAGAGAAACTGGGCAGGGAAGTGAACCTCAGACACTAGAGAGGTAATAAGCAGGCAGGGACATTGTTGGTGGTCTAGAAGTGCTGAGAGGATGCAGGACTCTGTGTCACTTGCAATGCTGTGAGAATCTAGCATCCAACATCCACATTGGCATGTTAAAAGGCACCCAACTTATTCATGTGTCCTGAATTTCTCTGGGACAAACAGTATTGCAATGCTGAAATGGCCTAGGATGCTAGGTGACAGGCAAAATCTCTCCAGGTGAAGGCCATGCCACTTGCTTATACTCTAACAGCAGTGAATCCCTATTTCTTATGCACGACTCTGTGTCATACCTTTTGTGCTCCAAGGACTGACAGAAAAGTTCCCATCTGGATTCTCACTTGCTTTCTTGGAGTTGCTAATTAAGTCTGAACTTCTTTTACTCTTTTGTTTTATTTTCTGTTGGGAACTCAGGGCCAAAGTGTTTAAAAGTTAATTCAGCCCCTTGTGGAGATGCTGTCATCACAGGATTACAGTTGAGGTGAAAATCACCAATCTACTGGGAAGGAATACCAGGAGATCAGGACCCTTTAAGTCAGGGCGAGGGTCTCATCACGGGTTTAGCAGAGACTTATTTCTCTTGGCAATACCCACCATCACGGGATCGTGGAGCCCAGAGGTGAGTGACAAGACTAGCAAGAACTCAAGACATTAGAAAACACTCCTTGTAGAAACCATTCTCATATTCTCTGACTCATCTGTTTTAATTTGTATGTTCCCCTATTTAATCGTAGTCGTGCTTAAAATCTATAGGAAGATTTTCTTTCAACAGCTCATCTAGAATCAAGCAAAGAAGGAAGGATGGTAGCAAGAAGAGAGAGAGAAGAGAGGGAGGGAAGAAGACAGGAGAGAAAAAATTCAGTGTATAGTCAGGGTAGAGAAAAGGGTCTCTGCTTTTGATTTAGGAAGCATGAACTTGAATGGGGTTTTTGATGAAATCGGGGCTATTTTCAATTAAGGTCAGAGTCAACTAATTCCAATCATCCCTAGCCTGTGTGAACCCGTTTCCTCCCATAATCTGATGCTGTGTCTCTCTTATGACTGATATCACCTCGTTTTCTTTTTTCTTTTCTTCATATACTGTGTGTCTCTGCCTCCATTACCTCTCCCTCTACTTCTCACTATCTCTCTCCATGATTATTATTAATTTGGGGGGTTTTAAAAATGAGCATTTATTTGCATTCTTCATCTTTCTTTATTGATAACACTAGGAATTGCACTCAGGGACTTGCACTAGTTGGGGAAGCCATGAACTACATGCCTGTCATATGCTATATAGATTGAAGTACTTTTATTCATTTCTTTTCTCATACTCACTAATTTATATACTTCAGGAAAATCCTACATTCTTTTTTGCTGAAAAGCTGGATTATAAAAAATGGTGGAGTAGAATACTGATACTTGTACATATTAATGAGTTAAGGAAAGAAAAAAGGATGATTTTCTACTAGAAAATATTAATTTTATTATTGATTGAGGATTAAGAGTTGAAAGCTGTATGAATCACAAGAAATGAGTAAGCCTATGTCAGGAGTATTTTAATTTCTTGTTACTTCAGCTATTTTGAAATAGAACAGATGTTTTGCTGATTCTATTTTTTCTGTGTATATTTAGTTTATAGATGTAGATAATAGAGCTAGATGGAATCTCACAGCCATATAACATGTAATAGCACTTGACACAGGATTTACTGTGATTATCTATGTAATAGATGTGTCAACCTTATTTTTAGAGGATAAATGTTATACCATTGTATGTACACACCTTGTTTTCTTCCGGCCCGGGTTTGTTGATGGGCATGTGGAATTATTTTATCATTCAGCTCTTTTAAATGACTTTGCTATAGAAGTGACTAAGGAGGTATCTCCTCAAGACCCTTATTTTCATTTTTCTTAACTCACATTAAGAAGGGGGAACTGGCGCATGATATAGCAACTCTTGTTTGGTATAAAATAACATTTTATGCATCAGATATACACACTGTGAAAACTTTCAGAGAGGTACTTGTAATAGCATCAAAAACAAAAAAAGAATAAGAAATGTCTTAGGAAATACATTTTATTTTGGAAGGCAATTAACACAATTTGAAATATATTGTATAGAGGACAGACACTTATACCATGTTCTTTAAGAAAACCTTCAGGTACCTTGTATTGGATAGATTTGCATGTCAACTTAATACAAGCTTGAGTAATCGGAGGAAGTAGGAAGTGCCTAGGTGAGAACCATTTGTAAGGCATTTTCTCATTTTGTGATCAATGCAGGAGGGCCCAGCCCACGGTGGGTGGTTTCCTTAAAAATTTAGTTAGCATACATTGGATTTCATCATGATATTTTCAGACAAACTTTTTGTTTTTGTTGACTGTAAACTTCCACTTTTCTTCCCCATCCCCCATCACCTACTCACAACTCTCCATATCTTTCATAAGTCTCCTTTTCACCTTAATGACACTTTTGTCCTGTTACCCTCCCAGTGAATCCTCAACACTTCTTCTTTCTCCTTCATTTGATCTTTTCGTTTCTCTGAGTCTGATCACCGTGATGATTTCTTTGCAAATCAAATAATTTCTTACAACGGTCATGGTTTCATTTTCATTTGTGGATAAAAATTTCACTCTGTGTAAATAGTACACTTCCATTACCTGCTGATGAACATCAAGGCTCTTTCCCTTTCCTGACTATGGTGAATAATGCAGCAGGTTGCATAAATGTACAAGTATCTCTGGGTTAGGACCCAAGTCCTGTGAGTATATGCTTAACAATTAGAGCTGAGTTATGTGGTCATTCTATTTGCAGTTTTTTGACAAATCTTTGTACTTATTTCTATGATGAACTTAACACCATACCCTTTCACCAGCACTGAATGAGAATTCACTTTTCCCACAACATTGTCAACATTCATTGTTTCTTTACTTGATGTTAATCATTCTAAGGGTTGTGATGGAGTCTCAAATTATTGGCAATATAGTCAAATGCACTAATATTTCTTTCTTCCTTCCTTCTTTCCTTCCTTCCTTTTTTTTCCTTTAATTAATTTTTTTTGGAATGGTTTACTTTGTGTGTAGCCAGCCCTGAATGTACTGGAACTGACTCCATATACAAATCAGCCTCAGAATTAAACATCTGTTTGCCTCTGTCTCTTGAGTCCCAAGATTAAATGCCTTCACCACTACATGCAAGAAAAACATTAAACTTAAAAAACATATGCAATAATAAAGAATATCTACTTCTTTAAATAAAACAATTTTTAAAGTTCTTCTATAGTGAAAGAGCTATGTAAATACAATAAAATGGTGAATATTTTCCTCAAGCTAATCATGAAATAATACATACTCATGATATATTTAAAGATGTTCTTGATCATAATAAATGTACTTACCTTCTTAATAGGAATAAGAATGAATCCTGAAAACTTAGCAATGGGAATTCTCCTCTTCTCCCAGATTACAATGGGCATGCTTGGAAATTCCTCACTACTGTTTTACTATGTCATTTCGATATTCACTGGAAAGCATTTAGTGCCCAAAGACCTCATCATAGAACACTTGACTTTTGCCAACTGCTTGTCTATCATCTCAAGAGGCATTCCACAGACAATGTCACATTTTGGATTTAAGTATTTCCTAGATGACATTGGATGTAAATTGATAGTGTATATTTACAGAATATCAAGGGGGGTGTCCCTGTATGCCATGTGCCTACTGAGTTGCTTTCAATGTATCACAATAAGCCCCAGAAACATCAGATGGATGAAGCTTAAACACAGAGCTACCAAGTTCATCGGTCCCTCCTGCTCACTCAGCTGGCTTGTTCACCTGCTTCTAAACATCGCAACACCAGCAAGAGTGTCAGGACCCATTTACAACAAAAATGCAACCAGTAGGATGAGTTATGGATACTGCTCATGGTTTGCTTCTGGTAATGTGTCAACAGCATTGTATATGTTCTTACTGTGCTTCACTGATGGCCTTTGTCTGGGTCTCATGGCCTGCTCAAGTGTCTCCATGGTAAATATCCTCTTCAGACACAAGAGACAAGTCAAGCACATACACAGTGCTGAACACTTACTGAAAATCTCACCTGAGGACAGAGCTGCCCAAACTCTCATCACCCTGGTGTTCATATTTGTCATCTCTTACTCATTTTCTTCCATTGTGGTCATTTTTACGACCTACTCCAAAGGTTTAATGTTATGGGCAATAAGTATATTACTATTTCTAGAAATATTCTTTCCCACAGTTAGCCCCTTTGTTCTCATCAGCAATATCAAGTTTAGTTCCAGCATATTTTTACTTTGCTGCAGTAAAAGAAAACCTCTTCCAAGTGTGACATGAGCACTTCTTATCTGTCTTTGCTTATATATTGGCATATTTTCATCTTTTTGTAGAATGATAAGAATACAGTTGCAAAATATCGAGTATCCTATAACTGACTCCTATGTCATATACTGTGATATCGAGATATTTAATATTAGTATTTTTCTTACAACATCTACTATCCAATGAATAATTTGCTATCCAATTATTAATTTGCTATCCAATAATGATAATTTTTCAAAAATGTAAAACCAGCATATTATACAAATTGTTATGCAACAATATGAAAAGTATATGCTGACCTAGAAAATGTACCTGGAAGGCCAGCACTATCTGAATACTCAGGCAATATAGCCAATTTTGTTAAGTGGTGGCGTTTTCATTTTATGTGTATGTGTATTTTTCCTGCACGTGTGTCCATGCACCACATGTATAAAGTCCCTGCAGAAGTCAGAACTGGCATTGGACTCCTTAGGACTGGAGCTGCATATGGTTTTGAGTCACCATTGAGTGCTGTAAGTAAATCCTGCATCCTCTGGAGGGACAATCAGTGCTCTTAACCACCAAGCCATCTTTCCAGCCCTGAGATGTTTCTATCATAGTTTAAGATGTTTATTTCATGTATGTGTATATACCTCAGAGTATGTATTGCACCACATATACTGCCTGCTGCCCGCAGAGGCAGGAAAAGTATGTTGGATCCTCTAGAACAGAGTTACAAGCACTTGTGGGCCATTTGAACTCGTTTCCTCTGTAAGTTCATGTAGCTCCTATCTGTCATTTATTGCTTCTCATATGGAAACACCACAATTATTCATGTGTCATCACTGATATGAAAATGGTATAGAAAATTGATATATTTCACCTTAAGAAAAGTAGCTAGTCTCAAAAAGGCGAATATCACAGGTTTTTTTCATGTGAAATGAAAGAACAAAAAGGAATTGGAATAGATTATTAAATACTGAGAATAATAAAAGAATGAGAGATCAGAAAGAGGGAAAATAGACGATATAATAAGGTATAAATATGACACAAGCACATAATTCACATGTGTGAAAATATCAAAATGTAATACTATATAATATTAATATATGGCTTAAAAATTAACCTGTCACCAAAGTCCTGTAGCCAGTTTGATTTATTTTACTCCATGACTCCAGCTGTTATACTCCATGTGCTATAATATGTACTTTCTAAGGCTCATCAAAATGTTTTAGTTGTGTATCATTCCATTCTTTACATATATTAAGTTTTTCAAAAAGCACATGTCTGGCCTCCTGCTTTGTCCTGAAGAGTTACATTACTAGCATAGTTTATGTATAATAACTTTTCCTAGGAAATAATTTCTCTTTTTCTGAAAAAAAGTACTAGATCTAGCCTGGGGTCCTCTGGTCACTAGAGAATGCACACCCAATCATCAAAGTCCTCCCCACTGATGGATAAAACCTCCATCTTCCACATGGTGTGGGGTAGGGACTACATGTTAATACATGGATTTGGTAGGGAGACCTTCAAACCTGACTTTGCCACCATTGTTAACAGGTATTGTAATATTTCTACATAACAATGACACCCCATAAACATGAATACCTCCTCAATTCTACTTAGAGAGTCTGTATCTACACTTTTAAGATTTTTCATGCAAATATCTCATTTTTAGTCTTCTTTCACTTGCCCATTTCACAACAACGCACAATTTTCCTCATTTTTTTATCTAGCTGAATACTATTTTAAATCTTCTCTAAATTAATTCTTGGCCCCAGGTCTAAAGCATTATCTGTGAGTTTTCTCAGCATATTACAAAGATTAACACTTGATCCTCCAGCTCCAAATTGTCTGAGGATTTGATCCTCATTTTGTTGTTTTTTCCGGTCAGGAGTTTGTCTTATCTTACTACTATACCTTTTTCTCCATAAAACACAATTTGGATGTGAACATGCTCTAAAAAGAGGAAGGTTGCTAAATGCTACAATTATTCTTGGCTTAGATTTTTCATGAGAGTGCTTTGTTTTCTTCCATCACAAAAGGCACCATTGTGACTATTGGGAAATTGTGAAAGGTGATAAGAGAGGAGATAATGTTGCTCCATAGATACAAATACTCTGAGTTTGATAATTCAGTTGCACTTGCATGCTATAATATGGTTTCTGGTAGGAAATGTATTGTGAGCTCTGTGTATCACATGCTGAAAATAGCATCAGCTGTGCATCCAAGGGCACTGCATTTGTCATGGAAACATTCTAACTCACACTCAGAAAACTGTCTTGTCTAACATGTTATTATGAGTGAATTTGACTAGGAAAACTCTATATTAATTTTTGCAATTTTTCAATGAGTTCAAAATTATCTCACACAACAACCCTCTTTTTTTCTAATAAAACTGTATTTACTTAGAAACATTCAGAATGTCAACAAAACAACTGCAATTTTTCAATTACAGGGTGGTTTTCACTTAATAGAATGACAATTATCTGCATACAAGCTACATCAGAGAAAACTGAACGTTACAAAAACAGAAACAAAACAAACAAAAATGTCGTCCTCACATATAACCAATTTGTGCTGTGCACCAACAAGAATCTGCTTTAAGTCCCTGCAACTCACCCTGTTAGCACAGGTTTGGGTGAGCCAGCCTGAGCTAGTTAGCAAGGAAGAGCTGTTTCCATTACCCATCTGTTCTGTGATAGCATGGGTGACAGAGATTTATTTTCCTCCTCCTCTGGCCTGTCAGTGCCTGAGGCAGGTGTGAGAACTGTCCCTGAGGTCACAATAGCAGGAGAGCTGTTCCTGAGCCCCACCAGCTGCAAATCTTGGGAGAGAAAGCCCTGTACCTCACCTGAGTAACACAATAGAGCCAACCTTGTTGGCAGAAGTGTGAATGAGCCAGCCCCGAAGCTAAAAGCATAGGAGAGCTATCCACACTACTAGTCTGTCATGTGACTGTGTGGGAGGTTTAGAGATGCCCCTCTTTACTCCTTGTCCCTTACTGTCTGCAACAAAGTAGAGAGCTGACTCTCTCCTTTACAAGCTGCAGCAATCTGGAAACAATCCTGCCCCTTATCTATGCAGCACAGCACAACTGGCCAGTTGTCAAAGATGAGGGTAACCCAGCTCTGATGTTATGAGGAAAGGAGTCCTGTCCCCATTACTCATCAGAAATGTGGTAGCATGAGTAGAAGAGAGATGCCTACAATCCACCTTCCATTCATTAATGCCTCACATAGCTGGAAGAGTTTTCCCTGGGGTCATAAGTGCTGGAGAGCTATCCCTACCCCTCCCCAACTGTAACACTCAAAAGGATGAGCCCTGTGCCTCATCTAGGCAACACAACAGAGCTGGCTCTAATGGTATAGGTGTAGCAGAGCTTACCCTGAACTTGTGAACTGTGTGTGAACTTGTGATCATCTCGGCCCAGTCTCCACAATTGCTTGACTTGCAGACCCACATCATCAGCCCTGGGGTTGAGTATGAGGAGCACTGCATGTGGAGCACGTTAGAAACTGTTCCTGGAACAACTGCTTCTAAGTTTATCTTCTTCTCTAGGTGAGTATCCTCTGTCCCCAAGCTCCCCTATCAGTTCTGTTGAAATTACAACTTTGAGAATATGCATGGATTAGGAAAATGAATATTTATGAGTTATTAGCTACTCTATGCATATTGTGGAAGTAAATGACTTGATATAGTTTTTTAAATCCTAACATTTCCTAATTCCTGCTTTACACATTCAAAAGCCAACTCCACTACTCATGTAGTTCTTCATTTTCTAGAATTGTTCAGTTTTGAATTTGTAATCTTTAATTTGTACCATAATGGTTCTCCTTCCTACTAAATCCCTTCTTTCCTTACTTTTCTTCTCTGCTCAGTGTGATCTGCCATCCTTTCTTATTCTATACTGAATATTTTCTCACTGTTTTCCTGGGCCATAACTATACCTAATGACATAAAACGTATTAAATGATCATGTGACTCAAATGTAACTTCCATGAGTGGAGGGATGGGCATGTGAGAATTATCTGGACTGTGATTCAAGATATGACATTCTCCACGTGTCTTGCCACTACAAAAATAAATGTCCTTTAGCTGGGTTCAGGAGATGGCCTGAAATGTCAGACCTCTCTTTCTCTTGCCATCTTTGTGTGATGTTTTAATCATTGTTTTAGGAGAAATGAAATCACAACAATAATCCTTTTACTTAAAAGGAGATTGCATTGTGCATCCAATTAATGTGGTGCATATGAGTGTACAAGTGGGATCACTTACTGGGTCACGGTCCATCTACCAGTTTCCACATCCCTAAACTCAAGTGACTCTCTGCCCATCAGCAGCCACCAACTGTCAGCCACTCTTTAAGTAGAACTGGGGCCTCAGGAATCTCTCTCCCATTCACACTGGAAATTTAACTCACTTGATCTTGTGCAGGTCTTATACAGGCAGCTGGAGCTGCTGTGAGTTCATAAGGGAAACAGCCATGCTATGTCCAGATGTCAGCATTTCACAGTCATCCTCCCCATCCTCCAGTTCTACCATTCCTTCTGCTCCCACATGTGATTGTCGCTGCATGGGTACATGAAATCCTCAAGAAGAAATAAAAATATTATAAAATATAAATTAAGTGAGAAGTGTGGAGTAGACACAAATCCATGGAGTTTGAAAATCATGACTGAAACAATTTCATTGTTGGACTGAAATTCTAAGACTTCATAATGTGCAGGTGTCTAAATCATTACAATTTATGAAACATGCATGCACCAGCGAGATCACTATAAAGTACTGTTCATATGAACATACTTAGAGTAATACTAACAAACATCATGAAAGAAGAATATTTTAATGCAAGTTGTTCTGTTTTGAGTTGCTGGGAATGCCACATGGGGCCTTGCTAAGCAAGTATTCAGCACTCAATTACATCATCTGCTGACTTTAAAATACTTTAGCAAAAGTAGTGCAAGCTCCTCCATTTCTGCCCTATATCTGTTTAACCTGACATATATAACATTTTGCTAGTAAGAAAATGAACT